GTATCCCGGGTCTGCACCGCCTCCTCCTCCCGCCTCACGCCTCCACCTCCACACATGTCACATACCATAACTTCACATACACACAAATTTAACATACAATAACTTCACACACACCCACACATACACAACTTTGTCACATACAATCTCTCACATACAATCACTTCACACACACACAAACTTAACATACAATAACTTCACAATCACACACACACAACTTTGTCACATACCATCTCTCACATACTATCACTTCACACACACTCTCACACACACACACAACTTTGTCACATACCATCTCTCACATACTATCACTTCACACACACTCTCACACACACACACAACTTTGTCACACATCTACCATCGTTTTGCGTGGCAGGCGTGGCACTGATGGCATTGGGTGGCGCGCTTGGTCTGATTTGGTCGCCCGTGACGCCGCGGCACTTTGCGTGGCAGGCGTGGCACAAACTCACATCTACAGTCGTTTTGCGTGGCAGGTGTGGCACAAACTCACATCTACCATCGTTTTGCGTGGCAGGCGTGGCACTGATGGCACTGGGTGGCGCGCTTGGTCTGATTTGGTCGCCCGTGACGCCGGGGCACTTTGCGTGGCAGGCGTGGCACAAACTCACATCTACCGTCGTTTTGCTTGGCAGGCGTGGCACAAACTCACATCTACCATCGTTTTGCGTGGCAGGCGTGGCACTGATGGCACTGGGTGGCGCGCTTGGTCTGATTTGGTCGCCTGTGACCTCGCGGCACTTTGGGCGTGGCACAAACTCACATCTACCATCGTTTTGCGTGGCAGGCGTGGCACTGATGGCACTGGGTGGCGCGCTTGGTCTGATTTGGTCGCCCGTGACGCCGCGGCACTGTGCGTGGCAGGCGTGGCACAAACTCACATCTACAGTCGTTTTGTGTGGCAGGTGTGGCACAAACTCACATCTACCATCGTTTTGCGTGGCAGGCGTGGCACTGATGGCACTGGGTGGCGCGCTCGGTCTGATTTGGTCGCCCGTGACGCCGGGGCACTTTGCGTGGCAGGCGTGGCACAAACTCACATCTACAGTCGTTTTGCTTGGCAGGCGTGGCACTGATGGCACTGGGTGGCGCGCTTGGTCCGTGACGCCGCGGCACTTTGTGTGGCAGGCGTGGCACAAACTCACATCTAGCATTGTTTTGTGTGGCAGGCGTGGCACTGATGGCACTGGGTGGCGCGCTTGGTCTGATTTGGTCGCCTGTGACGCCGCGGCACTTTGCGTGGCAGGCGCGGCACAATACACATACACATACACATACACATACACATACACATATACATACATACCTACCTACGTACGTACATTCATACATACATACATACGTACATGCATATACTATCTTTTCACATACTTTCACACACAGTCTTTCACCACCTCCTTTGTCTTTCCTTCCTTCCCCGTCCCCGCTACAACCTTTGAAGCTCAGTATTGGAAGAAGTTGACTTGTGGGGTTATCCGGTCCTTTAATTTTTAATGATTATGTCCACACCAGTTCTTATTGCTCTCGCAAAATCTTTACCTCCTCTTTGTGAGGATTTTCTTGGTCTTCGGACACAGCTTGGGCATCACAAATGGAGGCTTTATCCGAAGAGGCGCCTTTATGATAGGATTTGCGCAAGCTGTGCTACTTGTTCGCTGCATGCGGTACATGTATATGTGTCGCGACAGGAGAACCAGTGCTGGGAGGCAGGGTTTCAAAGGATTGCTTCCCAGATTGCGCGATCTCTTTTTGCATGCCCCAGCCAGGAACTTATTGCCAGGGAAAACTTTCTGGACTGGCTACAAAGCGGCGTCGAGGCGTCGACTGCCCTGAGTGAATGGACGGGTGGTGCAGGCGTGCTTCCATCTCTTAACGCTTGCAGGTGCCTTCGGTGAAAGCCGTGGCGCCTCGGGGCCGCAAACTTCACAGACGGTTGCCGCCGCCGCCGCCCCCAGTCCATGTCGTCCATCGTGGCCTTATACGGCTGACAAAGTGCGGGGCAAACCTTTCTGTTTTAAAGTTGCAGCGCTTGACAGGTGGGATGCACTCTTGGTCGCCGCAAGGGCAATGCGAAGACCTCAGTCTCTTGTGTGTGTGTATGTTATGCATATTGAACGCTGTCAGTTTCAACCGCTTTTCTGCATATATTGTTGAGACGCAAGAGACACACAGACACAGATAGAGATGCAGTACAGGTGCAGAGATGCACGCAAACATACATCCGCACATCGCCATCGAAGGGTCGGACAGCGGAAGAGCGAGCGTGGCGCAACGCCCGGAATCGCGCGAAGGCGAAGGCTGGCACGCTTCCGGCTTGTTCAGCAGGCTTCTTCAGTCAAGTGCGGCTTTACCTTTCAATGATTCAATTCCAATGGTTGTATATATGTCACACTCATGCACCCGCGTGCTTTATACTTGCTGCTGCTTTTCAGGCGGCGAAGTTCCGCCGGCCTGCGTGCAGGACGGCTCCAGCTGCCTGACGCTCGGGCTGCTTGCTCTTTGGCGTGCTTGGATGCAACTTGCTGTTTCATAGGCGCAATGCCTTTTCAGATTTTACCAACATTAGCACGGGTAAAATCAAGGCGCCGCCGCTGCCATCGCCCGCAAGGGGCTCAGACCATGGTGGATTCTCGTGTTTGGCGTCATTTTGGCGCTCTTGGTCAAACTTGCGTCTACGGGGCACCAAGGTGGCGCATCATGTTGCGATGCCCCCATCGGGTCGGTCAGTGAGGACCTTGGGGGCACTTGTTGTGTTGCGGCCAGTTTTCATCATTACAAATGTTGGCTGCATAAAATTGAGCCCAGCGTTCGCAAAGGCAACCCGCACCGCTTCAGACTTGAAGTTCATGAAGGCACATTGCCGGCAGGGTGCTGCCCTTACACTGTTTTTGCTTAACCTTTGCGAAGCTCGTCTGCTACGACTTTTGTTCTTACACTGACACTAATTTAAAGCTACAACTACAACTATCGCTCGCTATGATTGAGGTCTGGCAACAAATTCGACGCGGCCGCCGTCCCTTGCAACATGGCAAGGTCATGGGGGAGCCATGAGGCTGCGTGCTTTTGGATTCTTGCTTCTGTAAGCCCGATCATTCGGGGCCGGGAGGAATATTTTCGCGTAAAAGCTTCTCCATGCCTTTTGTTGTAATTTCGCCTTGCTGAGGCCGAATAGGCGTACAAGCCGAACCACTTCATGTCCAACAAGGCTGGGCCAGGCATCTCTTGCATAGAGGGGTGCCCCCTTTTCCCTTCTCTGAAAGCATGTCTTTCTACCGGCGCTCGTCTGCTGTGCTTGTTTTTCTCAGGACAGGAATCGGCTGCAGCACATGTTGGAAGGGAACACGGCCACTGGCGCGCGCGGGCCCTGATGGATAATATGGCGCTTCCTTTATTTCGAAACGCATCTCTTAATCGGTGTAATTCTGGCTTAGGACTGCAGCACCGGTGAAGGAGAAGAAGACGGTCGCGCCTGCACCGCGCGGGTCTTATCGACAAACCTTCGTGTCACAGCAACCGTGGTGAGGGAGACGGTTGGGTTTCGGAAGAGGACAAGACAGAGGGGCGCATACCTACATGGAAATAAACACCGGTATCTTTACGGTATCTTAACTTGTTTTGAAATGGCATATCTTCTGGCATTCTACCTGGCATATCTTCTGGCATATGTTCTGGCATATCTTCTGGCATTCTACCTGGCATATCTTCTGGCATATGTTCTGGCATATCTTCTGGCATTCTACCTGGCATATCTTCTGGCATATCTTCTGACATTCTATCTGGCCGTTGAGGTCCAGCGGTGCTCACTGAGCTCGGAGGTCCCAGGTTGAGGTCCAGCGGTGCTCACTGAGCTCGGAGGGTCCCAGGTTGAGGTCCAGCGGTGCTCACTGAGCTCGGACGGTCCCAGGTTGAGGCCCAGCGGTGCTCACTGAGCTCGGAAGGTCCCAGGTTGAGGTCCAGCGGTGCCCAGTGCGCTCAGACCCTTGCAGTGCGTGCGGAAGTTGGCGAGGAGCTTGGCGAAGAGTTGGCAAGGCGGAAGTGAACATGGGAGTGGATGCAAAGGTGGTGGAGGAGAAGCTGGAGGAGAGGGAGGAGGAGGAGAAGGAGGTGGAGGATGAGGAGGAGGAGGCGGAGGAGGAGAACAATTGTGATAAATCTAACAACCCTCACCTGGCAGGTGGGGAACAACGAAATCTATTTTGTGCCATGGTCCATGGTCGAAACATGGTTTATATATGGTTATATTATGATATATTCCCATCAATGTGGAAGGTCATAGCCTTCGTCAAACGTTGAATCCTGTGAGTCGTGCATTCGAAAATGAGTCTATTGCAACAATCATTATGATGAGAATGGGGGGAACCTTACTTGTCAGACAAAACCATGTGGGTCTAAACCTCAAACCAGGCGACGGATGGGTAGTTCATAGAAATTAAATGTTGAGAGCATGTTCCTGTCATTTCTTTTGGCTAAACCATGGTGGGCTAATGATGGTTAGCTGCTTCAAGCATTTTGACTAAGGAATATTTGATCTCCCGCTTAACATACCTTTTTGGCCAGATATCGAAGATTTGCCATGTGTTTCTGCCGGAAAAAGGGACGGCAGCACGATGACTGGAAGGTCCTCTTGAAAAAAATACACCCAATGTGTACAGTGGTTCAAGATATTTTACCCTCGGATTGTTGAGTGGGCAGCATGGCAAATTTGTGGATCTTCTACCCCAAGTTGAGCCAAAGCCAAACATGTCCGACTTTTTATCGGCACAGATTTGGACGCGTTGAAACCACCAGCCTTGACGGTGTTCCATCCCCATGATGGTGCCCCAAACATATAACTTAGTCTATACGCATCTATACACACCATTAAGTATAGTTATCATTCCTATCAGAAACCCTAGTGAAGTATGAGATGAGTTATAAACCATTGGAAACCAACTTAGCTAACAAACTGGTGCCCCAGCGAACGTCGAATCCGGGTCGACGCCCAGGATTCTGCGAATGTCCTTGGACACGCTGGAGAATCCACAGAGTGATGAAGATTGAGGCACCCACGCCAGTCTAAACAGTGGAACCACAGTATAGTAATCCAGTGTGTATATATATATATATATATATGTATGGTTGGTGGTTTGGAACGTTAATTTTATATTTCCATTCATGAGAATTTCATCATCCCAACTGACGAAGTCATATTTTTTTCAGGGGGTAGGTATACCACCAACCAGATATACACGTGTATATATATATATATACGTATATTATGATTGTATATATATATATATATATATGGATATCATATGTAGTGAACTGATGATAGAGTCTTCAATTGATCAGAGTGCTTCTCAGTTGTCCACAGATGCATTGCATTGATGCCGCGGGGGTTCTGGGGAGGGCGTGACCAGATTTGTGCATATGTATATAATCCATATACATACATAGAATGACACACACATATATATATACACACACCGATGTATAGTATATATTGTCTCTTAAAAAATGGATTTCATGGGACTCATCACCACACGCCTCAGTCACCTCTGCTTAGATGGACCTTCTGGGGTTTGTGAAGGGCTCACCCGCCGAGCGACCCGCTTTAAATGGGCTGGTCCATGTAAGTGGGGGTACCGGGGATACCTCATTTCATGGCTACATGATGCTACATGAAAAGGGGGAAGATGATTTTCTCAACCATGAGATTTTTGTCGGACTTTCCAACATCGACCCAAAACGTGGGTCCGTGGGAACCAACCCTTAAAGTTGATATGTTTGTCGCCCACATCAGGGCGGAAAATTCATGGTGCCGATTTGCAGCTCAGTCGTTGAAGTTGTACGCAGGTGGAGCTCTTGCGCAGCAAAGCCTGTGATGTGACGAACCAGAGTGAACTGAGAGTGACCAGCCAAAATCTGGGAAGAACTTGGATGGTAAAGTCTGTAAAGTGGCCAAAATCTGGGGGGGGTCTCATAGGGGTTTCTCGTATGCCTATGATGATCCATGATGATCCGGTGGCTCCGATGACTCCAAAAAAATAAAAAAGGTCCGTTGTGTGTTTTTGTTTCTGTATCTTATGGGGATATAGCATGATATAGCCGTATGGTTATGTATATCAGCTACAGCCAAAATTTAGGTTAATGGAGAGTAGTATTCGAGCGGTCTCTATTTTTTGGAAATTGAGCTGGAGTTTGGAAAACGATAATACACTCTTCAAACAACGGTAACATTTTACTTATATACCAAAACCTGAAAAACGATAATACACTTTTCAAAAAGTGATGACTTGGAGCTATATACCAAATATTGACCGTGGCCAATATATTTATATATATATATATCGTTATATTTATATAAATATATATATATATACCAACCAGATAGTATCATTATGTGTTGTTTTGGCAGAGTATCCAAAATTGACATTTTTTCCGGGGAAACACATGAAATCAGTTGAAATCACATTGCAGCAACCACTGTCAAGAGATCAAACATGGAAAACACCCTGGATCGCCACTCCTTGGAGTTGGGACAGTCCAGTTCAGCAAAATTATCACAATATCTAGGTTAATCTTGGATGGGCACTTTAATCCTTTAGTCTCTTGGTATCAATGGGAATATCTACAAACCAGCAACAAATTTATTTTTTTTGCAGGGTATCTAAGATTGGCAATGATATGTACTCTATGTTTTTAAGATGAAAAAATTGGCCATGTAACTTTGATTAATAACACTAGGTCTGATTATTGATACCCCATATGCTCCATGGTGCTGGAATATTTACCTACATTTACCCCAAAATCAACCAGTTTTGTAGGTAAATATTCCAGCACCATGGAGCATCTGGGTATTTGTGTGATGCACGGATCTGATCACCGGCCAAATTTTACAACGCATGCTGCGCATTGATCAATGTAGATCCTGATTCGTCTAGATCCTAATTCTGGATCAGAACCCTAGATGTGTTTTTCATATGATTTTAATGTGCATGTGTATGTGTATTATGAATATGAACTACAGTAACTTTCAATAAATAAGTGAGTGAATCATCGAAAAAATCATAGTAATCATGGTGAATTCCACTACTGAACCGTGTATTTAGATTGTTCAGAATGCCCAGTTACGTGATGACACCACTGCCCAGCTATCATCCCCACCAGCCGTCCCACAGAGGATGCGGCAGAGCAGTCACATGTGGTCGCTAGTAGTGGTTACAGGACACACGGAAGATTTTTGTTCTCCAAGAAATGAATACAATATGCATTCAAAACAATCACTAGATACTACATTACTAGATGCAAGTTTTATTAAGAATCAAAAAACATCTGTAAACGATAAAACATAATTGAGTACAAATGCACTAAGGACATCAAAGGACAATATATGCCAAATTCAATTGTGTATCAACCCATCTTCCCTGTCATCAAGGAAGATGTGGTTGCTGTGTCAGGATGTGCGAGTGCTCTTGGGAAGTATGGAAAAAGTATGAACAGCAGATCCACCAAAAATGCAGCCTATACGAGTTCAAAGAGTTTGTCTGAGATTACAGTTATGGCCCTTTACCAGTTATAAGTACTTACAATCCCATTTATAGAATGTATAATCCCATGTCTAACCAGTTATAATTGATAAATTGCTATAACTTTAGGATACCCCAACATCCCACGGTTCCTCATCATTTTCATGTGTACCCTTGGGGCCCATGAAGGCAATCTAGACATGGTGAGTTTCAATAGGTAATACAGAGAGTTTAGGTATTCAGAAAGGGTATTCGTATGGAATGAAACCTCGGAACAGAGTTATAGGAATATTATGTGTATCATCAGCTGGTTGCTCGCTGACTTTTCACCGAAGTGTAGGAGTATCCCAACTGCTGCGGAACGAGACGTATTTGTTGGAGATAGACCGGAGGAGAACGAGTAGAGCAGAAATGATGTTGGCTACCAGGGTCAATGACCGAAGATACAAGCCACGTTTTTTTGTGTAAACATTTGATGGGTAGTTCTTACATACAGTCATACTTTAATAATGTGCTTTAAATGTGCTTTATCATATCAAATCATTATTTAATAAATCAGTATATATTTATATATATACATACGTAAATTGGCCCCGCGACTGTCGACCACTCCAACCGAAAGACGGGACGCAGCACCGCACCTTGTCGAGTCGATTCTGAAGATGTGCCGGATCCAGTCCGGGAGTTGTCCAAAAAGGTCCGGATGCATTGGAAATCATTCATAGTTGTCACCATGAAATGTCCACTTGAAAAGTTGGTGGTTTTCTCCCCCCTTGGAGATGGGCAAACGAAGCAATATCCATCATGAAATCCGATGAAATCCTCATGTTTGATTGGTTAATTCTGGTTGAACGTATGTCAAATCCTTTATGGATCGAGATAATTAATGAATTAACCAAACCAGTTAACAAACCATGAAATCCTTTTGTTAAACCACTTATTAATTATGGTTTCATGGTTTGTTTGAATCAATTTTCTTTTGACGCTTGCAGCCTGCATCCAGTAACGGAGACAGGTTTGGAGCTATGGGTATCCATAGTGGAGCTACTAAGACTTTCCCAAGCACATGCTGGTTACATCTAGTTACCCTCTGGCAATCAAACATGGCTGGAAAGTCCTTGTTATAGGTTTAATAAAGTTTAATATGATAATTTCATCATTCTAGATGCCCATTGATCTGGAATTTCCCATTTTTCAATGCTCATTGATTTGGGATTTCCCAGCTGCGACAGGAAGTGCTTCGAGCCTTACAACAGCCTGGTGATTCCGAGGTCGCCAGGGCCTGTGAGTGCTGCTAAAGCCCTGTTGGTTGATGATGATAATTATGATAGTCATTGAATCGGGGTCAACTAACATGTTAACGAACATGTTTTGAGATGTTTTAAAGTATCAAAGTATGGTAACATCGTAACACCGCAACTTATGGAGATAGATCAGTTATCCATCATTGATCAGTTATCTGATTATTGGTTTTGTTTTATCATATATGGATATAACTGATATAATTGATAAATGATGGTTGATGAAATCTTTGGGAATATACAAAATCCAAGAGGGTGATCACATTGTCACATGGTGAGCAGTCTTGGGTTTATGGAATATTTTTTCTGGCTTAGATAAACCAACTGTGGCGGACAACATGTTTCCACATGTTTCCCATATGTTTCCCATATTTTCCCATATGTTTCCCATATTTTCCCATATGTTTCCCATATGTTTCCGATATGTTTCCCATACTTTCCCATATGTTTCCCAATGTTTCCCATATGGTTCCCATATGGTTCCCATATGTTTCCCATATTTTCCCTTATGTTTCCCATATGGTTCCCATATGGTTCCCATATGGTTCCCATATGGTTCCCATATGGTTCCCATATGGTTCCCATATGGTTCCCATATGGTTCCCATATGGTTCCCATATGGTTCCCATATTTTCCCGTTTCCCATATGTTTCCCATATTTTTTCGCATATGTTTCCCATATGTTTCCCATATGTTTCCCATATGTTTCCCATACGTTTCCCATATTTTCCAACATGTTTCTACGATTTTCCCACGACAACCTCCAATTCGTTCGGGGATTAGCGGAGAAATCCAGTAGGTTGAGGCTGCGAAGCGGCTGTGCACCGCCACCTTCGTAGGGAGACCCGGTGATCCAACGGTGGTGTTCCTCCAGATCTTTTACGGAATGATTGTATATATATATATATCAATGTATATATATATATATGATTGTATATATATATATAGTATCATTGTATATATATATGTATGTATTATGTATATTGTATATGTATGTTTGATGATAATACATAAGATAGTATATGAATAGTGTATGATTTTCATATACTAATGAGAAAAGACTCAAAAGGTCCATGCAGAAACCCCTTCTTGAGAGGTCTTGCGAACTAGGTTCACGGCTCATATTTCGCCGTGAGTCAAAATGACATGTCGATGATGTGTATGTCGCACTCAAAGTCACTCAAACCATCGCAATTACATTTGTTTCTACTTGTCGTGCGTGTTCAACGTTTGCAAAAGTGCATTTGTTTCCCTTCTGCAAAATGCGAGTACACTAGTCGGATCTTCACTAAATTTTGGTGAGACATGTCACCATCAACGTGGCAACCGTGGCATGCAGACGTGCAACCAACGTAGCATCCGTAGCGTGCAGATGTGCAACCAACGTAGCATCCGTAGCATGACGTATCTTTGATTCCGTAAGAAGACGTGTCTGTGCGAATGCAAACACAGGACGTCATTAGCCCCACCCCACCCCACCCCATGACGTAGCTACGCATCCGAGAGAACCCACGCCTATGCGGATGCAACAACAGGACGTTACTAGCCCCCCACCCCACCCCACCCCATCTAATAAGCCCTAAAATGATTAAATAATGCATATTTTACCACGGCGAATTATGAGCCATGATCCAACTACATATATAGCGATAACACATATAGCAATAACGCGAAAACCATGCAAAGCGATATAGCGAACTACCTAAAGTGATATGTTTTGCTCATGACCGCCTTTGTGTCCCTTAGTTTGTGGATTATAGTTAAAATACACAATATGTATATGTATATTTGCGTAATTTTGCGCATATATGTATATATATATAAAGATACAATAGTACATGTTCCTCCAGAATTTTAGATCATATATTGTATATATATATATATGAATGTAATTTATGTCAATAATACCATTTAATATACGATATAATAATACCAGTTCTACCAATTTTATTGGATACCTCGAGAGATGACAAAGTGATGGTATTTTGGAATGACCAAATGAAAGTAAAGGTGATAAAAGAGGTGATAAATACGACGAATAACGATTCCCAAAAGGACCGGAAACCATGTTTTCCCAACAATTGTACTTCAATGGTTATTATTTTGTTTATATACTATGAATATAGTACATGTTCCTCCATCACTTTAGAATTAAAG